ACAAATGCATAAAAGCAGTAAAGTTATGTTGAACCATTATCATATTCTGGAAAGATTATAAGATTTAGGAGCAGAAGTGGGCCATTCAACCCATTGAGCCTGCTCTGCAATTCATGAGATCTTGATTGATCTGATGATTGTCAGTCCCACTTTCCTGCCTAATCTCCATAATTGGATTTCCTTGGTGATTAAAAATCTGTCTATCTGAGCCTTGAATATGCTAATGACCCAGCTTCTATGATAAAGAATTCCACGGATTCACTACCCTCAGAGAAGGATTTCCTCCCTATCTCTGACTTAAGTGGGTGACCCCTTGCACTGAGAGTATGTCCTCTGGTCATAAAGTCTCCCACGAGGGGAAGCAATCTCTCTACCTGTACCTTGTCAAGCCCCACTATTTTTTAAAATCCATTAGATGTTGGCATTACCCAGGGCACAGTTACATATCGCATCTTGGCCAGACGGGTAAGGACAGCAAATTTCTTTCCCTGAAGGGCATTAGACCTAGATGAGTTTATAACAACAATTTACGGTGGTTGCATTGTCACCATTAGGCTAACTTTTTAAATTTTTATTGAATTCAAATTTCACCAACTGTGGGATTTGAACCCACATCGTCAGAGCATTAGCCTGGGCCTCTGGATTACCATTCCAATGATTGTTAGACCTTCAACTCCCTGTAAATCTTGTATGTTTCAATCAGATTGTCTCTCATTTTTCTAAACTCTGTTGAGCACAGGCTCAACCTACACAACCTCTCCTTATACAAAAATCCTACCTCACCCAGGATCAACCTATTGAACCTTCAGTGGACTGCCACCAAAGCCAATATATCTTTCCTTAGATACGGGAACCCAAACTGTTCACTGTATTCTAGGGTATGGTGCCTTGTATAGTTTTAGATAACTGTCACTATTTTTGTACTTCAATCTTTTGAAATAAGGACCAACATACCATTTGCTTCTCTATTATCTGCTGAACTTGGATGCTTGCATTTTTGTGATTCATGCACAAGGACGCTCCAAATCCCCCTGCGATGCAACTTTCTGCAGTCTTTCTACATTTAAATAATGTTCAGCTTCTCCATTTTGCTGCCTGTGTGTGTATTTCCCACACTACATTCTATCTGCAAAGTTTTTTGCCCCAACCTATCTATATCCTTTTGTACTTCTTTGTGTCATTGTCACCACTTGTTTTCCCATCTATTTTAATATTTCTAAATGCTCTATTATTACATTCTTTATAATAGAGTCTACTGCTTTCCCGAAGACAGAAGTTAGGCGAGCTGGCTTGTAGTTTTGTTTTGTTTTGTCTCTATCTTTGTTTAAATAAGGGTGTTATGTTGGCAGTTTTCCAAATCATTGGGACTTTTCCAGAATCTAAGGATTCTTGGAAGATTACTACCAGTGCATCCACTATTCCCATATCTACATCTTTTAAATTCCTGGGATGCAATTTCTAATTTCCAAGCCAATAATTAGAGTTTTGTGCCCAGTTCTGTTCACCACTCATTAAGAGGGATGTGAGGCTCCTTGAGAGGGTATTTTAGTAACAAGGTTATAAATGGAGGAGATCAGGGTTGTTCTCCTTGGACCATAGGAAATTGAGGGGAAATCTAACAGATCCAATAAGATTACCACATATGAGATAAAAGGTGGACAAGGAAATCCTCTTCTCATTAGCTAATGGTCCAAGGACGAGGGGACACAGATTTAAGGGTTTGGGCAGGAGATGCAGGGGTGAGCATGAGAGAGAAACTATTTAAAGCATTCTATGTAATGACGTGGAACTGGCCGCCAAAGAGGGTGGTAGAAGGCGATACGATCAACAATTTGAAATGGAAATTGGATAAGCATTTGAGGGAAATTAACTCACTGACTTATGGAGATACAACAGAAGGAATAGGGCTGATTAAATTGCTCTACAGAGAGAGAGCTGGTATTGAATTCATGGGCTGAATGGCTTCTGTGTGTGCCATAATTAATCTATGTTATTTTTATTTACAAGTTATTTTTGCCAGAAAATAATTTTAGAATATTAAACAGTTGACTCAACATCCCTGGGCTCCAGTTCACAGAATCGCAGGATTCTTACAGTCAGAAGGTGGCCATTCAGTCCATTGTGCCTGCGTTGATTCTATTCCCTAGTGTCAACCTCCATGCCACTTCTATCCAAATAATCATCCAATCTCCTCTTGAATGCTTCAATTAGCCCACATTTCCAAGCAGTGTATTCCATGACAATGTTTTGGTCTTTGACCAGTGAATTCCCTGCCCTGTTGCATTTCTCCATCAAAGCAGTGTGCACCATTTTATTGACAGTGAAAAGGGAGAAACCCACAGAACTGGGAACTCCAGCCAAACTAGCCAACAAGGAAACCAAGGGGTTGGGTACATCACACTATTGAGGGTCAGGTGAAGCCCCTGTACGCCCAGAGGTTGCACAGAGCCATCAGGAAACTGAAGACCAAGAGATCAAGATTGAGACCTGCAAGTTCCCATCGAAGCCACTCACCATCCTGACTTGGAATTCTCTCCCTTATGGAAATGTGGGTCTGCCTACAGCACATGGACTGCAGCAGTTCAAGAAGGCAACTCACCACCATCTTCTCAAGGGCAACTTGGGACAGTTAACAACTGCTGTTCCAGCCAGCGAAGCCCATCTCCCACAAGTAAATAACATTGAAAAAAATCCCTTATCGACCAAAGACTTAGCTCAACCTTCAATATATCCAATGACCCAGTCTCTGCTGCTCAAAATTAATGATCATCAGAGAAAAAGGACACCTCTGTATTAAATGGGAGGCACTTTATTTTGAAACTGTGGCCCTAGTTCTAGACTACCTCACAAGGGGCTTTGACTCCTCAATATCTCCCCTATCAAAACTCCTCAGAACCTTATATGTGTCATTAAGACCACCCCTCATTCTTCTAAATTCCAATAAGTATCGGGCCAATCTGTTCAACATTTCCTCATCATTCCAGGAATTAGCTGAGTGAGCTTTCTCTGATTTGCCTTCAATGCACGGCTATCCCTCCTTAGATAAGGAGATCAAACCAACCCTGGAGATGTGATCAAGCCCCTTTCTCTGTCCTCCCATTCCATGGTAGGGATGACGTTCAGGCCAGTTGGGTTCAGAACAAAGAGCAGCCCCTAAAATGTGTTGTTTGATTGGGTGCCTGAATGGAACTCTCTCAGTTTCTCCTTTTTCTTGTACCTACTCCTGTCAGGCATTTGGTTGGCCTGGTTAGCTGACTTGCAATTCAGAGTGACATTAATGTTGGTGGTTCAATTCCTGTACTGGCTGAAGTCACTTTGAAGGTTCTGTGTTCTTTACCTCATCCCTGGCCTGAGGTGTGGTTAGAATTCACCATCTGGTGTGTCTCTCTCTAATGAGAGAACGGGACTAGGACAGGAAGTGCTGCTACTAATCCTGTCAGGAGATCTGTTGACAGGGTCAGTCTTGCTCCATAGAGTCATACAGCTGGAAACAGACCCTTTAGTTCAACCCATCCATGCCGACCTGATATCCTAAGCTGAACTAGTCCCATTTGCCTACGTTGGCTGATATTCGTGTGCCTGTCCAAATGTCTTTTAAATGTTGTAACTGTACCTGCCTCTACTACTCTACCACTTTGCTTTTTGTTTTTATGACCTATGGTTATAGTATATAGCTGTAATGTAACTTTTTTTTTATTCATTTCTCTGTTCAGTAATTAAAGATCGTACGTATGTACTCTCTACCTAAGATCGCAGCATGTGTTGGTGACATTGTTACACTGTAGCTAATCTTGTAACTGAAGAAGCTGTACCTAAGTACCTTTGTACCTAAAGTAGAGCTGTAAGTGGCAACTTATAAAGTTTTCACTGAGAGCTGTAAGTGGCAACCTATAAACTTTTCACTGTACTCCTTTGAGTACATGCGACAATAAAACTAATTCAAGTCAAGAAATTGCTGGAGAAACTCAGCAGGTCTGGCAGCTTAATGGGGGGAGAAAGCAGAGTTAACGTTGGAAGAAGAGTGACCGGACTCAAAACCTTAACTCTGCTTTCTCTCTCCATAGATGCTGCCAGCCCTGCTGAGTTTCTCCAGTAATTTCTGTTTTTGTTTCAGATCTCTAGCATTATTTGCTTCATTTTACCCCTCTGTGGCTGGTCTGGAACCATCATGATACTATTGCGCCCAAGTCCACCCTTCTTCCTTGTAGCCCTTGGCTACAAAAAAAAAATCTCTGGTTGTTCAGCTTTGATCAAATGGTCAAAATGTTGACTATTTCCCCCCCATGTCCCAGCTCAAGATATTTTTTCCCAATCTCAAGTCCCCCTCCACTGTCTTGTAGTCTGTCTATTGAACGTGTGTCTTAACATCTACGTTACAGAGGCCTCTATCTTCTCCCACATATCTTTACTTGTTATTTCGCGTTTTCAAGCAGGCAAGAAAGTTGCATCTTGTGAGTTATTTTTCCTTGCCACTAGTTTGAGTTTTTTTTTCCCCTTTTGTCAACACTTCCTTCATCTTCAAGAAACAGCAGCCAGCCAAAATGCATAGGGGGAACAAAATCTCAGGTTAGCAGAGGCTGTTAAAGCAAGTTTAACTTTTCATTGAAAAGTTCCTTAATTTGAATGATTGGAGCCTACAAAGTTCTGCACACTAAATTCTCAAAGTGCCTCACGACCTGCTTTCTTTAATTCAAATTGTAGGACTTTCTTTAAAAAATAAAAAAAAATCAGACCTTAAATTTCTCACTAAGTTTCAAAACAAAACAAGCTGTTGATTCTTTAAGGTTTTGTCAGTTCAAAGAGCAAATGCTCCTTCCCCAACCAGCTCCCCCTAATAGTTACACACCCAGAAATTGCTGGAGGAACTCAGCAGGTCTGGCAGCATCTGTGGAAAGAAAGCAGAGACATTGTTTCGGGTCTAGTGACCCTTCTTCGTAACTAATAGTACTGAAATCCAATGTATCATTTTCTTACATAATATAAAAATAAAGTCTTATTACCTGAGCTGGGGGTTTTGCTGGAAGTTTGCCCGCTGAAGTACAGAGGCTGTTAATTAAAATAAAAGAAACAGCTTTATCCATGCAAGCATGAGGAGGCAGTTTAATCAGGAGGCATCTCTTATACATATATTTTTAAAAGACGCAGGCACCAAAAAAACAAGTGAGCCCCGGGTGGGAAACAGCGAGATCGAGATAGAGAGAGAGAGAGAGAGATATGTCAGGAAGCGGTAGAGTTGAGCATTTCCTGCATTCAGTGGCCGAGAAAGGAAAAGGGGCAGAGACACGAATCTGTGTACGAGCTGTGGGCAGATGTTTATTCTGAAAAGAGAGAGAGAGAAAAATACAGGCACGCAAGCTGTTCTGCGCTCAAAACAGGAAACCTCTCAGGTCATGTAAGGGCCACGTTTTGCTAATCTAATTAAAATAACTGGTAACACTCTTGCTCTCATTCTGAAGTGGCCGTGTCTTACAGGTTCGTTTCCCCACCCTTGTTTCTGAAATGTACTTCGCAATTTTTGAGATTAAATTTAAAAAAACACGTGTTTTTCTTTCACTGCCAAGGCCAGAAATTGTAGCCCCATCCGTGGAGATGTGAACAAACTCCTTACTATGTCCTCCCCTCCGGGTGGCTGGGATGATGTGCAGCCCAGTTGGGTTCAGAAGGAAGAGGGACACTTTGCACTGAGGGTCTTCTTCAGCTATTTCGGAGGGCAGTTAAGAATCGCCCATTATTGCTGTGGGTCTGGAGTCACTTGTAGGCCAGACCTAGGAAGGACGGCAGATTTTCTTCCCCAAAGGGCATTAGTGAACCAATTTTTTTTATTAATTCCTGTGTCAACCTGTCTAGAGGGAATATGTTGGTCTAGTGGTTTTATCCCTAAACTATAAATCCAGAGAAAAACTGAAAGAACTGCAGATGTTGGAAATCAGAAACAAAAACAGAAACTGCTGGAAAAGATCAGCAGGTCTGGCAGCGTCTGTGGAGAGAAATCAGAATTAACGTTTCGGGTCAAGTGACACTTCCTCAGAACTATTAATCCAGAGACCAGGTAATGTCTGTGGACCTGGGTTTGAATCCTGCAATTGCAGACGGTGGAGTTTGAATTTCGGAAAAAAAAATCTGGAATTAAGTGTCTCATGATGATCATGAAACTATTGTCAATAGTTGGAAAATCCCATCTGGTTCACTGATATCCTTTAGGGAAGGAAATCTACCATCCTTACCTGGTCTGCCCTACATATGATTCTAGACCCACAGCAATGTGGTTGACTCTTAACCACCCTCTGGGCAAAAGGGGATATGCAATAAATGCTGGCCTAGCCAGTGACACCCATAATCCATGAATGAATAAAAAGAAAAAGATATGTTTTTACACACCTTGAAGCAGATAGGATTTGAACCCAGGCCTCCTAGCTCAATGGTAGAGACATTACCACAGTGATACAAAAGCACTAGCCCAATGGGTTTTTATAGCAGTCAATGACAGCTGTTGTACATTAGTATTTCAGGTTCCACAGAACCCCTAAATTATGGAAACAGGCCATTCAGCCCAATGAGTACAAACTGACCCTCTAGGGAGCATCCCACCCAGATCTATCCCTGTATTTCCCATAATGCATCTAATCTACACATTCCTGAACACTATGGATAATTTAGCATGGCCAATCCACCTAACTTCCACATCTTTGGACTGTGGGAGGAAACACACACATACATGCTCACACGGAGAACATATAAACTCCACACAGACAGTCACCCAAGGGTGGAATTGACCCCAGGTCCCTGGTCCTGTGAGGCAGAGGTGCTAACCACTGAGCCACCATGACCCCACTCAATAATTTTATATTAAATATCACTAATAATTTGATTTGATTTGATTGATTTATTGTCACGGGTACCAAAATACAGTGAAAAGTTTTGTTTACGAGCAGTACAGCAGATCACAGCGAGCAAAGGATGTACAGATGGGATTTGAATTCTTGTCCTCAGAGCATTAAACAACTACTAACTAATAACCTGGAGTCCCAGGTTAATGCACTGAGGACAAGTGTTCACCCCAGTCATTCTAATTAAAATGTAATGTAACCACTATACCCAGTATCACACTCACAGCAGGACTTTTATGACCTCAAGGTGTTTCAAAGCAATTTGCAACCAATGAAATATCTCTTGTAATGCAGTCACTATTGTAATGTAGGAAACACAGCAGCCAAAATTGCATGCAGCCAGCTCCCACAAACTGCAGCATACACCTGACGAGATAATATTTTTCTTTGGTGATGTTGTTTGAGGCATTAATATTGACCTGAACGCTAAGGAAGAGTCCCATCGAATTCTTTTGTTACATCTACCTGACAGGGTAGACAGTTTTAATCCAAAAGACCACCCCTGACAGTGCAGCACTCACTCAGCACTGCATTAGCTTATTAGTCAAGGTTTTATGCTTAAGGAATGGATTTTCTGTCCCCTTCAAGGTGAGAAGAGAGGCTGGTATGTGGGAAATTGGCATTGCTGATTGGGCAAGAGCATCTAGCCTATCCGAGTCCACCCCTCATGATTTTAAAAACCTCTATAAGGTCACCCCTCAACCTCCTCCAGTGGAGTCTATTTGTATATCTCAAACCTTCCATTCCTGGCAACAGCCTGGAAAATCCTTTTTGAATGCTCTCCAGTTTGGTAATGTCCTTCCTATAACTGTGCAACCAGAACTGGACACAGTATTCCGCAAGAGACCTCACCAATGTCCTGTACAACCTCAACATGACATCCCCACTCCTATACTCAAAAGTCTAAGCAATGAAGGCAAGCGTGCTAAATGCCTTTTTAGCCACCCTATCTACATGTGATGCAAATTTCAAAGAATTATGTACCCAAGGCCCCATTTTAATTGTATAAGTCCTGCCCTTGTTTGTTTTTACCAAAATGCAATACCCCGCATTTATCCAAATTAAACTCCACCTGCCACTCCTCAACCCATTGTCCCAATCAATCAAATTCTCTCTGTAATCTTAGATAACCCTCTTCACTGTCCACTACGTCAACTGGCAAGTTTGTAAGAGATCACTGCCAGGCAACTGCTTCACACATGATAATGGGTCATGACTCCATTTGACCCAGATGTTCGGATCTAAGCTGAAAGCCTAAAGTCCTGCTCCCAGCTCCCTGGAATGTTATTTGAATGCACAATACTCTGTTCACTTTGCTGCAGCTGGCTGGATATCACCTCTGCTGAGGGCAATGCTAACACCAAACGTCATCCTGTGCATGACATGTGACAGGACAGTAAGCTGGTGCAGTCTGGTCTCTTCAGCTCCATACCCTAATCTCATCAGGAGGGCAAGAGTGTTAGTAAACCCCACCTGCTCCCAGCAACCCCACTCTTCCCCTAACAGAGGCCAGCTTATGTATCTTCAGTTTAACATGACACTGCACTACATGGGATAGAGTCCATGCAAGCTCCATCAATGGATTCGCCAGTAAAGCCTCAACATTGTGTGCCAATCCTCCAACTACCCCTCCTGAAATAATTCCACAGAGGTATCCCATCACCAAGTCACCCTTCTTTTACACGTGGAGAGTCCTTGACACTGATCCAGCTCCCTCAGAGCCAGCTCTCAGAGTGAACAGAACCTCTGACACTCCTGTTTATATCTGTCAGCCAGGGCTCCCCGATTGGACCAGATTAACAGCCCCAATCAGGGAACTCATTCTATGAGGTTCACCTGGCTGATCTCATTAAAATCCATAAGTCACTGTGCAGCTGCATCTTCTCATTTCACCAGCTCCTGTCCCAATCTTCGGATCTGCCCTCGGTAGCCCACCCCTGGACCGAGTCTGAATGGGGTTTAACTGACTCATAGAATCATAGAAACCCTACAGTGTGGAAACAGGCCATTCATCCCAACAAGTCCACCCCACCCCTCCAAAGAGCATCCCACCCAGACTCATTTCCCTATCACTGCATTTCCCATGTCTAACCTACCTAACCTATGGGCAATTTAGCATAGCCAACCCACCTACCCTGTACATCTTTGGACTGTAGGAGGAAACCAGAGCACCCAGAGGAAACCCACACAGACACTGGGAGAATGTGCAAACTCCATACAGACAGTCGCCCGAGGGTGGAATCGAACCCGGGTCCCTGGTGCTGTGAGGCAGCAGTGCTAACCACTGAGCCACTGTGCTGCCCTTCCTCTTTGTCTCCCAATTCTTTTCTCTCACCGCCAACACGCATGCCACTGTCCTCCTCCTGCTGCCCCTCCTGGGATCTGTGAGCCACACCCTCAGAACCTCACCGTCCCCCCACCCCACTAAGCTCCTTACCCCTGCTGCTTTACCATCTCTGTTTACAGCACCAGTTCCCGAGTTTTATCGATAAAAGCAGAAAAGTGAAATAACTGACCTGAACTGAGGATCTGGGAGCTGTCTCCACCTCAGTGCAAGTCGAAAACAACTGTCGCCTAAACACGAACACAACAGGAAGTAAAAAGTTAATGTGTATCTGAGGGTCAGATTAGATGTCAAACAACCACAGTGATATAAACCAGAGGGTGCTTAGAGAAACAGCTTCAAGACCCATACAATTAGAACAAAGGCCTGCATTTATCTAGTGCCTTTTACCAGCTCCAAAGCACTTCACAGTGAAATGAGGTGCTCTACGAAGAGTATACTCCTTTATAGGAAATACAGCATCCATTTTTTAAATACTCATTAACAGGATGCAGGCATCATTGGCTAGGCCAGCAGTTATTGCCTATCCCTAATTGCCTAGAGGGCAGTTATGGGTCAACCAGGCCAGACTTGCCCTTCCTTGAAGGACATTAGTGAACCAGATGGGGTTTTCTGACAATCAGCAACAATGTAATGGCCATCATTAGACCCTTAATTCCAGATCTTTAATTTATTTCAAATTCCACCATCTGCCATAGTTGGATTTGAACCCATATCCCTAAAACATTACCCGGATCTCTGGATTAATGGTGATAATGCCACTAGGCCATCACCTCTCAAACAGTTGTATACAGCAAACTCCCATTATAAATGACAATGTGATAATGACAAGATCATCTGTTTTTGTGATGTTCAAAGATAAATATTGCCCAGGACCCTAGAGGAATAGAGGGAGATGGGCTAGGAGGCTAAGAGGTGTTGGAGGGTGCGGAGATATTGAGGATCTTCCCTGCTTTTCTTTATAACATTATTATAGGATAGGATCTTTGACTTGAGAAGGAAGAGAGGGCTTCAGTTTATCATCTTGCTTCACAGTCTGCGAATGTGCAGCACTCTCTCACCGTCATTGGTGTGTACCTAAGTTCTCTTAAATGGCAGAAGTGTGTGTGTGTTCTGCTCAATTAACTCATATAGGAGACTACAATGTCACAGGTGAAGCATCCTCTCTCCCCTTCACTCTCTGGGAGAGATGTGTGAAGACGTTGTTGCCAATGTTGATGTTGGAATGGGGATGAACAGTGGGTTGGAGCCAGACAAAGAGAGTTCAGGATGGGGAGGGCAGAGTAGACGGACTGGAGGAGATGACTGAGATCAGGAGGGCCAAAGCCAGGAAGGGAATTAAATGCAAAGAAGAGAATTTTAGATTGTGGATGAGCGGGAGCCAAGAAACACATTTGAGCAATTGAGAACATAGAGAGTTTAGGATCAGTCTAAAATGACAAGAATTTGGAGAATGTGGCCCCACAGTCAAGGGAGGAGCTGGAAATGTCATGGTGGGGTCTTAGGCTGTCTTAATGATGGAAAGAGTATGGAGTCTGAACAGGGCACCACAGAAACAGCCCAGTTGAAGCTAAGACTGGGTGTCAAGGTGAAAGCCAGTATTTGTGACAGAGGTCCATGATAACAGAACCTGACATTTCGAGCTGCTCCCAAACAGCCTGGCACCTCTCCATTCAGCTGAAGACCTTCACCCTGACACCCTAACTCAGTGCTACCTGATATCTCTGCATTTTTCCAGTTTCATTCTATTCAACACCACCTACATACTGAAAATGCAGTTCACAGCCCTCACTGCATTTATTCAACTGTTAACCTCAAAGATCAAGAACAAAGCACAGAAGCAGACTTAAGCTCCTTTCTTGCGCTTGCTCCAAAGTTGGCAACTGTGCCTTTTGTTGCTGAGGGCCTGAGCTCAGGAATTCCCTTCCAAAATCTGTCCGACTTTAAGATACTCCATAAAACCTACCTCTCTGAGTTTGATAGCAACCCTCACCCCACCTAAGGTATCTCAGATAAAAGCTTGATTGCTCGTGCTCCTGTGAATGTTTTACCCAATTAAAGACACTCAACAAAAGAAAGTTGTTCATCCATTTGCAAAACTCTTTCTAAATTAAATCAGGCACATGCTTCTCTGGAGTGGAACTGGGGACCCCAGCATTCTGACTGAGACACAATACTCATTAAACCTTGTACTGACTCAGGTTGATGATTACCTCAA